TCAAACTTTATTACTCACAATCAGAGGCTTACGTCTGCCAACAATACCCATGGCTGATTATCGCCCCTCAGAGATTGTTGATATTCTCCTTGTTCTCGGAGAATGTGAACTAAATTATCATGAAGCTTCGCGAGTTTACCGGAATCGTTACCGCGAAAGAGAACAACATCCGAATCATACTACAATCCGGGACCTCGAACTAAGAGCTCGCCAAGGCCGTTTAGGACGTCAAAGAGCACATCATGCATTTTCAAATTGCAACTTTGGAGCTTTATAACTCGAAAAGTACTCAATGAAGAAACATTTTATTATAGTGTTTTGGAAAGCTCTCGAGGTCAGCTACAAGAATATGTAATAAAAAATAGAGGATGCCATTTAAAAAAATTGAGGTGACCTTCATGTGACTTTCAAATAATTCTTCAAGGTCAAACCAATGGTACCGTCATATGGTCTCCTCGAAACCAAACAACTTTTGTCTGAAAAATTTTTTTCTCCCGGGCTTGGTTTTCGAAATATTCGACTGGGTCGATTAAAATGGCCCACCTTGTATATCGTTAAGGGGGGTCGTGGAATTGTCCTGTCGTGCCTCAAATTCATTGGTACTGTAATGTTACAAGTTAACGCGTGCAACTAACTATTGTCATATCGTAACTCAGTGAAAAATGTATACTTAAACGAACACAAAAATAAGAGAAATTCGACATTGCGTCGTACCACATGTTCCCAGAGCGGAGTCAGTTGTATCGTTTGTCCGGACGGTGGTGCGGACATCATTTTACGTCGCGGCTGACGACGACGACGGCGGCCTCGCCGGGGCGACGAATTTTCCTCCGATGATACCGGTCTCTCAAAAGTCGACAGCTGAAGCGGCACGGGATCTGCTTGGGGCTGCAAGGGCCCCGCATTTGTCGATCCTGTCATAGATGACAAGCAGCGGGACATGTCCCCCTACATCTCGTCCTTCGGGAACCACTGATTGTTCATGATCCGCCGCGGTCTCACCTCCTAATCGCTCCTCATTGACGATGATGATCCTTCAGCTGACAGATGCGCGAACCAGCGCGGAATTGGCGTATCGAGCTAACAATCACGGCAAAGAAAGGTAAAGCCCGAGATCTTCTCGCGTCGAGAGATCGAGAGTGATGTGCCAAGAGTTTCCAGCACACGTGGATATACAGAATGTGTGCTTGTAGATTAGGACGAACTGAAGAAAAAAGTTCTCTGCTTTTTCTTTTTGCAAACAACCACGTAATTTTTTTAATTATTAATGAAAAGGATTGGCGCGAATGATAGCGCCCGATGCGATAGATGCAAGTTCTGTCATGGCGGCGCCTAAACGCTCAACTCGCCACTCATCATCGAAGGACGGAGTAAGGTAATGGTCCTAATTGTGGGTCGAGTTCCAATTTCGGGACAAACATTGGTTCATTAATGTATTAAAAGACATACATGTACATTATAATGGAAACGCGGGGAAATATTTTTTATATTCTTTAATTCATTTGCAGTTATTGTATTCTACAAGTTGCATTCAGAAGCATCGTGGATATTTAAAAATGTAAAACGTCATTTATCTATCCCTGCTGCATATTATACTTAATAGAATTATCTATAAAATCTATATTTTGTAAGAAATCTAATGCATTTTATGCTTAATACGTACTATTTTCTCTTGATCCAATTTCATAATCTTTTACCCAGAATGGGGTTCATGCTAAAAGGACACTAATAACAAATAATAATATATCTCAAATTTATGTTTCAGATCATTCGAACGAGTGCTGTAATGTTAACGGAGTAACAAAATAATCGCGCAACGCTTTGCGGCGCATAACTCGGCATAAATCATTGCGAAATATTTTGAAAAAATTTGTACTTCTTAACAGTGTCTCTAAAAATGCCCCTAAAATTTCAATGTAATCGGAGTTATAGCTTTCTAAAAAAAATTCTTAAATTTACCTAATTTCTAAACATTCTAGATCGAAATCCCCTCTAAGATTGCGAGCATCGTCAATAAATGTCAGATTAAAATCCTTGCCACGTGAACAGGACCTAAAGGCGTCCGACATTAATCGCCTAGACTACTTTAACTAGACAAATTAGTTTAACTAGACAAATCTTAATTTCTTTCATTGAAATTATTTAATTATCTAAACACACAATTATTTATTTCGTGTTCCGTTAATTGCTCTTTTAATTTTATCTCAAGAATATCATTCTGTTTTCACATATAAACTAATGATTATTTATATCAAAACACGTTAGAAAACAATGTTCAATTGATTGTTTAATCTTGACATAATAATAAATAAATATTTTATTTATTTTCATCTACGTTTATCTGACTTATTAATTTTTTGTTAGAGGTCCCGATTCTTTTGGTCGTGTCCCAATTTTTTAAGGTCGATATCCCGATACAATCGGCTGAGGCAAGGCCGCTCCATTAGTATAAGCTTTACGTTCGTGAATTATTCTGCAAATTCCGAAAAATCACCGCAGGAACGCTCGCAAGCAAGCACATGGCCGCTGGAGAGACGCTACGTTAATAACAAAAATAACACGATACGATACGAGGAGAGCGAAGACAGATCGATTTCTCTTATAAAGTTAACTAACTAAGGATTGTAAAGACCGGGTATGCTAACACGGGAATACGCCAATTGTAGTGACGGACACATAATGCAGAGAAGCGAATCGTTCGCATGCCTTGCACAGAAGAAACGGTGAAAAATATAATTTCGCGAAGGTAGTTTACACAATAACGACGAAAATGACGACGACGCGGTGATTCGAGTATACATGAGACGAAAGAACGTGGAAATGCTGGCCCCGATAGTATGTAGCCGTTAATTCACCGACGAATGCAAATCAAATTGAACGTGTGTATGTCGTCGTTCCTCCTGCACGTATATACACCGGCCTGTCGGTGTGTGGGCCGTATCGAATCGCCGCCGGCGCGCCGTGACGTCAAATGCGAAAAGCTACGCGGCGAGGCGCACGACTCGCGGTCTCTAATCGCGCCACGCTTGAATATTACATTCTGGTATAAGCATAATCCGACGGGGCAAAAGAGAGAGAAAGAGAGAGAGAGAGAGAGAAGTTGCGCTTCTACGATTTACACGTCACAGTCCTCCGTGGAGTTCTCATTTGTTCGCGAACGACGGGGTCTACGACTTCCTCGCAGAGATATGTGTACATCGCGATCGACGCTGGATGATTGACGTTTGTTTTGCTTCCGGCATGTCGGCGGCAGACTACAATACGATTGACAGAAACACCCACCGTTGTAACCCGACTGATACTGCTCCGTCGTATATACTGGACGAACGGTAACTTCCAAACGTGATACATGTTTCATGAAACAGGTGTCTTCTCGCAAAGTAAAGAGAATCGGTCGCATCGACGAGCACGCGCTTCGACCGCGCCGTTTCGCGCCTGTGTGGGTTAAACGCGCGAGAGTTACGCGATCTCAAATCAAAATTGGAAAAGTTCTGAATAGTAACTCTGTCGCTATTAGCCGTTGCTTCTTGAAAAGAAAAATAATTAATATAATACGTTATATTACTCGTATAATTACTTTAAATAATTTATCATATTGTTGGTTGATAAATGACAAATCCTCACGATTTCTATTACTTTTACCATCATTCGAAGATCTTTTTTTCACGTTTCCATGTTATCCTACCATGCACATATATTCTGCATGCACAAAGTAGCAATAAAAGCAACGATTGCTTGATTGATTTGTTACCGTTATTCAAAAAATGAGTTACCGTTATTGTTCTTAATGAAACAATCCGGACAGTATAAAATCCTAAAATTATCGTGGATGTACTTGGGACATCCTAAGACACTGTTTAGAACTTTTTGGACACACACCAGATGATTTTGGAACATCTCGTGCTATCTGGGAAATAACAATGATATAAAAAAAAAAGCAATGCTATTTTACTGAGGAAAAGCAACATGCAACGGTAACAATGTTACAAAAGCAAAGTTAAAACAATTTTTTAAAAATAACTTGTTATCGTCTCTCACTTGTTCTTTGGAAAAAAAAAACTCAAGTTATGACTATCCATTTTAATAAATAATTTGTTATCGTCATCATTACTCAAGAAACAACAACTCATTATAATTTCCGTCACTTTTTTCACTAGGTTTCGAAAATCCTCTTTTACTTTTTTACTATTCGCTGTCACTCACTCCATATAAAAGTATTCTACATGCGCAAACAATAAAAATAACGATTACGTGCATCATCGTCATCTAAAAAATATAAATGTTATTGATTCTAATGAAGAAAAATGACAAAGATATCTTTACCAAGTCGATACTGAAAAAAATCATTTGTAATGGTAACAGCGTTGAACAGGCAGGATTGAGAAAATGATTCTTTGAAAGTTACTCATTACCATTATTTATTGACCATTGAAAAAAAAAAGCTCTTTATCGTTGAGAAATAATGGAAATCGTAATGACTTGTCGCTTCTGCTGAATAACGGGTAACGAATTATAATATATATTTGAAAATGAGCAAAAATAACGGTAAGTAACGGTAAAGAGATATTTCTCTCAATGAGTAACGGTAACGAGTAACTTTTAAAGAGTTATTTTCACAATCTTTGTTACGAGTTATTATTTTCAGTAACGACTTGGTAATAATAACCTTGTTATTTTCCTTTTACGATATGCTATCACCCATCCCTTATGCGTAATTTTTACATATGCAAATAAAAATAACGGTTCCATTTATGACCGTTATCTAAGAAATGCAAATGCGCCACCGTTGCTAATGAGACAAATAAAAGCGTTACTAGGTTGTTATTGAAAAAAATAACTTATAGCAATATTAAGCGTCACAAGTGACACGTTACTTTCCAACACTGTTTCGAATGTATACATGTTTCTTGTGAAAATCGGATGTTCTAATGGCTGGGAAAGCGCTAATTGCCGAATAAACTTTCAAGTTGAAATGCTGCGACGACGCAAGCGACGAAAATGAACGAGGTGACCGGATCGGTTACTTTTTAAGACGGCGATATAGCGCCGCATCGCTTCGTAAAGTCGTGAAATTCTCATTATCGTCAAATCTTTTGCGAGAAAATGCACGAAGTGCTTTGCGTAAAAGTAATGCGTGCGAGACGCAATTGCATAACCCGGNGGGGGGGGGGGGGAAACGTGCGTATCCTCGGCGTTTCTTCGAAAGATACGCGCGTGAAAGCCGCGTTAATTCACTCTGATTACATAAAAGCTTAACTGATAATAATGGAATTATCAAGAATACACTAAGAATAAATACAATTCCCGAGATGCGTCTAACCTCGTTTCGTCGACTTTTTATTTGGCCATATAAACTCGTTTTTCAAACATAATTATGCTTTGCACGTGTTACTCAATAACAAACATTAAGACATCTCAAGTTATCGTAAATACATCTTTGAGATTTAATAAGATCTGTAAAACGTACGTCTGAGACGTATTTGAAACGTGTGTGTAAAGGTAACAGTGTTATATGATACCGATCACTAGTGACTATCGCGACATTCAACGTGTTAATTAACATCGACGACGGTACACCGAGGGTCAATATCTGCCGTTAAAATTCAACGTCATCATGTTCGTTGGAAATAATCGTAACTATATGTGCTGCACAAAATATTCGGAGACGCTTTTCAATCGAAAGAGAAACTCGCATGTACGCGATTTTTCACGACTACGAGCTTCTCTCGAATTAGAATTTCCCAATTCGCGCGTTCCCTCGTGCGATACTCTCTCGAAAGTGTCGATTGTACATAGAGTGTCCGACAATTATCTCAGGACTAACACACCGATTAATTAATTCCTTACTAACTATTGCGATTTTCGCAAAACAGTACGTGATTTTCCCGTTCAGTTTATCCGCTCTACTTGCACACAGCACGGATGCCGAGGTAATTTATTGGACCAAAATAATCGGACC